CGGTCGGCGCGGTTGCCCCGGGTCGCGCAGACCCGGATCGTGCTCGCGGCGCGGCGGCTGCTCTCCCGCGACCGCGGAGGGTCTGGCGGGGCGGGCAGGCGGCGCCCGGCCGAGCCGGGGACGGGGACCCCGCTGGACCCCGGGAAGCCGGCTCCGCTGCCCCCCAGCGCGGGAACTGGAGGCGAGAAGGGACGGAACGCGGGGGGGCGGCGGGGACCTCCCTTCCGGGCCCCTCCGCGGTCGGGGCGGACGCCAAGCGGGGCAGGCCGCACGTGGCTCCTCGTCGGCGTAGAGCGTTGCGCGAACTGGGGCTTCCTTGGCAGACCCGTTTTAAATGCGCCTCAGCGCGGTGTTTTTCAACCTTGGCCCTTCAAGGTGGGTGGACTTCAACTCCCAGAATTCCCCAGCCAGCAAGTCCACCCATCTTAAAGGGGGCCAAGTTGAAAAACACTGCCTTAGTGCGATGTGTGGATGTAGACTGAGCACGGGCTGAGCTGGAAGGGGGCACTGGCTGGGAATTATGGGACCTGAAGTCTTAAATATCTGGAGAGGGAAAGCGGGGCTCGATGGCTGAAACAGGAGCCCAGAAGTTCCGCCGTCACGTGGCTGGAGCGTCACTCTCCACTTTCGTAACTCCAGGACCTCCGCGAGATGGCTTTTACCGCAGAGGCGCAAGATATAGAGCGGCGCTCCCTGCCCGCGAGAGTCCGCCTGTCGCCGCGCCAGCTCCGAGCGCGAGCGCGATTCTCAGGCATCCGGCGCGCGGGTGTTCCTCACGGGGAGGCGCCGTGCCCGCGTGGGCGCGAAGAGAAGAGCCGCGGGGACGCGCGCGCCCTTTGGGCGGCCTTCCCCAAGATGGCCGCCGCCCACTTCCGGAGGCGGCCGGAAGGAGGCCAGACCGGTTTCTCCTCGCTTTTCTTTATGGTCTGTGAGAGCCCGGAAGGCTGGGCGCTCTAGGAGCGCGGCCCTTTTCCGTGGCCAGGCGGCCGCTTCCTGGCCGGCGCTTCCGGCTGCAGGTGGGCTGGCCAGGTGAGTCCACGCGCCGCGACGCGGACTGGTCTGCGGAGCGCGAGCGAGCGCCCCACCTCGCCGGGCGCCCCGCCCCCCCCTCGCCTC